TTCGTCAGACCAAAATGCTCAGACCTGTGATGGGCAGCAGCGTCACAGGTGCGATGTGTCTGGCACTGCGATCGCCAACCCGCTTGCCCAGCGTGGCGATTAAGGGCAAATCTAGATTGGATTGGACAAAGAATCTAGACCAGATGGAGCGACGATCTGCGCAAGGTGGCTGGTAGAAACTGGATGCGTGTAGCCGAGGATCGGGCTAAGTGGCGCGCCTTGGGAGAGGCCTATGTCCAGCAGTGGACTGCCGCAGGCTGATGATGATGGTGATAATGAACATGACACCTGACATACTGCATGAGCCAGGTTCGCTTCAGATCTAGATATTTCGACGATGAGCCACTTCCACGGCCGGAGATTAAAATTGATAAGAAACTGATTCACCTTAACCAATTCGTTGCGTCACCAATTTTCGAAAACTTCTAGCTGTGGCGGCGAAAAAATATTTTGACACGCCTGTCTTTTCAAACTTCATAGAAGTTGATGACACGTCTATTGTGCCATTAGCCATTAGTTAAAAAATGTCCTTTTGATACTTTTTTCACTTGTTTGGATCTAATTAAGTTTATTTGACATCAAACATCATTTGCAAACGGAAGGATACATGTTTTAGTGGCTAGCTACGTGTTTTTCTACGAAAGCGATTTTTATGTATATGTTACAAAACTTTTGTACTAATTTTTGTTTTAAAAATGTTTTTTCATTTAAATAAATAGATACAGAATTTAAATAAATAGATACTGAATCACCCTGAAAGCCCTTGGATTTTATGAAATTAAATTTCAACCGACGTTTGTTAAATGTCAAAGAATCAAGAAATTTAATTTGGATAAAAATAAGATTAATAATACATTGATATTTACAAATGTTATTAATCGACGAGAATATGACAATTCTATAATACCGAAGTCACCGCGGAGACTTCTCAATATGGTTTGGCTGTGCTGCGTGTTCTATGGGAAATGTACCAGTGTTAGTACCATAAAACAATTGCATTGTTTTTTTTTTATTAACAGAAGACGTTCCAGATACTTGTATACAACTTGATCGTGACGAGTGCTTTTATTTGTTACTTATTAGATAGCAGTTTTTCACATGATTTAGAAAACCCACACAGCCGCCATCCACAAGTTAAAAAAGGTAGTCAACGCCTAAAAATTTCAAACTCACAAAAGATCCAGAATCGAAGGCTGTAGGCATGAATTGCTTCCAAAATAACAAGCACACCCCCGCACACGCGTACGCGCGCGCACGCACGCACGCATACACGCACGCAATATCGATTAATTTGCGTCTAAATGGAAAACTTCCGAAAGTGACTTCACAAAGCCGCATCGAAGCTTGTCTCAACTTGTCACAAATGAAGAAACGTATTGTTATTTAACTAAGGTCTCAACAGAACGTTTAGCGGAACGTGAAAGGTGCCTTTCGGGTTTATAAGTAAACGCACCGTCATACTGCACTCTCCGAAGGACTAATTTTAAAATCTTTTATGTATACAGAATTTACACATAGTAATGCAACGATAGGATTAGTCTAATAAATTCGGTTTCTACCACTTAAATATTCATTTTGAATTAAATATTCATGATATTTTCTAGTATGGATTTTGCCGTGGCCTGAACATGACACGGGCTGTGTGGCAGCGGCCTAGAATACTGTCACTCTTTTTCATCCCGTGGATGTCGTACGAGCCGACAGAGGGAAATGCCTCAAAAAAGGAGAACTTAAGGCTTCCGATGGATGGTGGCATAACCATCCCAGTCTTCGTCAGACCAAAATGCTCAGACCTGTGATGGGCAGCAGCGTCACAGGTGCGATGTGTCTGGCACTGCGATCGCCAACCCGCTTGCCCAGCGTGGCGATTAAGGGCAAATCTAGATTGGATTGGACAAAGAATCTAGACCAGATGGAGCGACGATCTGCGCAAGGTGGCTGGTAGAAACTGGATGCGTGTAGCCGAGGATCGGGCTAAGTGGCGCGCCTTGGGAGAGGCCTATGTCCAGCAGTGGACTGCCGCAGGCTGATGATGATGGTGATGATGAACATGACACCTGACATACTGCATGAGCCAGGTTCGCTTCAGATCTAGATATTTCGACGATGAGCCACTTCCACGGCCGGAGATTAAAATTGATAAGAAACTGATTCACCTTAACCAATTCGTTGCATCACCAATTTTCGAAAACTTCTAGCTGTGGCGGCGAAAAAATATTTTGACACGCCTGTCTTTTCAAACTTCATAGAAGTTGATGACACGTCTATTGTGCCATTAGCCATTAGTTAAAAAATGTCCTTTTGATACTTTTTTTTTTTTTATTTTAAATATAATTTTAAAATAGGTTTGTTTTTGTTGGTTTTTTCGCGTTTTTTTTTTTTTTTTTTTTTTTTTGGTTTTTTGGGTAAAAAAGAAGTTTTTCACATGATTTAGAAAACCCACACAGCCGCCATCCACAAGTTAAAAAAGGTAGTCAACGCCTAAAAATTTCAAACTCACAAAAGATCCAGAATCGAAGGCTGTAGGCATGAATTGCTTCCAAAATAACAAGCACACCCCCGCACACGCGTACGCGCGCGCACGCACGCACGCATACACGCACGCAATATCGATTAATTTGCGTCTAAATGGAAAACTTCCGAAAGTGACTTCACAAAGCCGCATCGAAGCTTGTCTCAACTTGTCACAAATGAAGAAACGTATTGTTATTTTTGATAAAAAGCATGATTTCTGCATAATTACGGTAATCGGAAACGTTTGTTACATTAGTCCTTGGTAAGGCAGCTAAATCATATCATAAACATAAAGCGAGAAGAAACAAAAATGATGGATCTTAACCGTGAAAATTTGCGCGTTATGATCTTTTACGATTTTAAATTTGGTTTAACCGAACAATTAAGTTGCAACGCGCAACAGTTTTTAGGTGGTTTGCTGAATTCAAAAGGGGTAAAATTTACCTTAAAGATGACCAAAGAACCGGGGCCCCGCAAACAGCAATAACGGCAGAAAATGTATGGACTACTGCGAATCACATATACGGACATCGAAAAGATTTTAAGCATTAGTTCGGGGAGCATTCATACCATCCTACACATACTACATCAACATCTTGGAGTGAGCAAGTTTTGTTGTCGATGGATCCCTCGTTTGCTCTCCAAAAGCGGAAAACAGACTCGTGTGGATTGGTGCCATGAAATGCGTCTACGTTTTGAAAACGGAACATCTAGGCGTGTTTCAGAAATCGTTACTGGTGACGAGACATGGATCTATCAACATGATCCGGAAAATAAAAGGCAATCATCGGTATGGGTCTACTCAGGACAGTTACCGACAAAACTGCAAAGACCTCGCAACGTCGACAAAAAAATGGTGGCTAGTTTTTTTCACGGAGCGGACATTTATCGACGTCAATGCTGGAAAATTGTAGGTCAGTCAACTCTGAATGGTATACTACGGTTACATTACCCAAAGCTTTTCAAGCTGTGCGGGAGAGAAGACCAAAGACCGGGCTTCGGGGAATCATGCTGCATCACGATAACGCCTCTTCAATACCTCCCTTAGAACAAAAGCATTTATTGGGGAATCTGGTGTTGAAACTCTAAATCACCCACCCTACAGCCCTGACTTAGCTCCTTGTGATTTCTGTTTGTTCCCAAAAGTCAAAGAAAAAATAAAAGGTAAGTTTTTTTCAAGCGTCGAAGAAGCCGTGGCTGCCTACGAAGAAGCAATTTCCGACCTGTCAGATCAAGACTGGCAAAAGGGTTTTCAGAGTTGGTTTGGGCGAATGGAACTTTATATAGAGCATGATGGAGAATATTTTGAAAAGATGTAAAATAAATATTAATAGTATCTAGAATACTATTTGTATATCTCAAAACTTATTGCGTCTCCTACGTAAAACATGTTGTTTTAGTGCCAAAAAAATTGCAAAACATCGACCCGATAAGGTATGATCGAGTTATTAAAAAATATATTTACACTGTAAAGTCCGAAGTGAATTCACAGTGAAAGTCATCGCGCCACCCACTAGAAAGGGCAGAACATCTGCCGAGCCGGTCGATCTGAGAAGTTAAATTTATGTATATTTTTTATAAAAAGTTATTTTATTTATTTTATAAATAAAATGGCAATTTTATAGACATGCATATAGAAAAATTAGGCCGATTGACCACCGATAGGATGTCACTTGTTGATTACTTTCATAAAATCAAAAAATGTTCTAAGTCTTTACAAAAATGACTAACTTATATTACTTTGAAATTACTTTAAGAGCTGCGTGCACTATAAAGTATGAAACTTAGTTTAAATATTTTTTATAGATTAAGAATGATGAACGAGCACACAGATCACCTGAATGTATGTGGATGCTGTGTTCCATAGACATCTAAATCTATACTTGATATAAAATCAAAATGTAGATGCGTTGTCATCCCCGAGATCTATGACGCAAAAGCTCATTTCCATTAAAAAGTTTTCAGGTTCTATACACTCATCACACGAAACACAGCAAAATTAAGCTGTTATTTTAATTTTACGTCTTCTGTGAGTGCGTGAGCCTTTCCCGATAGAGAGCCGAACTATACTTGCTACAACTGTATGTTAGATGCAGCGTAACTCTACCACGTGTGTTAGTGTATAGAATTTAGTACAAGTATGATGGAAATATTTATTGGTGAACGAAAGAAATATATTACTAATTTCCAGACAGAAATAATTTTATATCTAAAAATGACTTAAAAACACCAATAATACTTACTGTAATATATGCATTTAAAAATCGATTAGTAAGAAAACCAATTAAATTTAATGATCAGAAAACTTCTTGGACGTTCATGGAATCAACAAAGGCGTAAAAAACAAATTAATACCGTCTTGGCAGGCAAAGCTACGGTTTTAATGTTTCTTTTATTGATCACAATAACTAGTTCTTTAAAGTATTACAGGTACTTACGGTTTAAACGTTTGTTGAGTTATTGCCAACGATCAGTGCATTAGACAGGTTATCTAGACAAGACACTGAACGACTTTTTGCCCCACCTTTTAACTATACACGGTAAGTGTGGTCAAAGACTTCAGTTTACATACATATACATGAAACTACTACTTAGAAGGGAAGGCCGGGAAAAACGAATGCACTCAGGACAAAAAACATTTCCATTCCATTAACATTTCATTAGTACTATGAATTGAAATATAGTCACTAATATTTTATCAGAAATTTTCATACGATAACTTTTAAAACGTGAATTAAAAGTAATTAGTATAAGTTATAAGTAAGTATAAGTTAAGTATTGAATAGCTTTATAATTTTTCATTAATCTTTATATTTTAATATATATAAATTACATGTCACGTTGTTTGTCCGCGATGGACTCGTACTTAATCAATTTTAATCAAATTTGCACACCGTGTGCAGTTTGGTCCAATTTGAGAGACAGGATAGTTTTTTTTGTGTAATATAATTCTTCTGTCGGACCAATTTTGAGGAAATTTTGTGAGTGTGATTAAGCAGTAGGTGGCGCTGTTGTCGAGATCCAGAAATAACCCGTGCGAAGCCGGGGCGGATCTCTAGCAATTTTATATAAAAATAGATCTACGCCTCAGTTCCTTACTGACTTGATACATAAAACATAAAAATGGAACCTAGAAAACCATGAACTATTTATTAAATCGCATGACATATAAGAAATAATGCATATGATTTTTATATTAAAACATAAGCTACAAATCGCGTCGCTCAACTTCAACCTTATCACACCGTTGATTGAGTTTATCTTGTTACGTTATCATCATCATCATCATTACAATCCTTGACAACTATACTGCTGAACATAGTTCTTCCCCAAGCAATGTCACAAAGCACGGTTATGAGCCACCTGCATCACACTGCACTTCTGCACTTGCCGCATGTCTTACCAGGTCGTCACTCCATCTAGTGGGAGGTCGCCCTACACTTCGCCTACCGGTACAAGGCTGCCACTCGAGAATCATTTTTTTCCATAGGTTGTCGGTTCTGCGAGCTATATAGCCGGTCACTCTGGTTCTACTGCGGATATCTCCAATTTCTAAGTTTATCACGCAGAGAAACCCCGAGCATAGCCCTCTCCATAGCACCAGCAGTGAAGGACCACGTCTAAGATCTATAAGTCACCACTCTAGCAACACGCATTGGTTGTACAATCTCATTTTTAAGCTTTGAGGTATACGGCACGGTAATATTATCTATACAGTATTGTAACTCGGCCGTATCTTTGAAATAAATACCTACAGCCGCGCGGTACGTAAACATGTGATAGGGCTACCCATTGAGTTATACAATACTAAATCAATGGGGCTGCCTGCCTCCAGCATTTTTACATTTGCCTACTTTGTTATAAAACTAACTGATTGTAGATATACTTTTTTTATATAAACAAATATAATAGGTACTTTGTCAATAGAATAGGAAGTTTTCAATAAAAATGCGTGTCGTTTTTTGATTGGTAAATTTAATTAAAAAACCACGTTTATGTTTGAATAACAAATCGGTCTTATGAATTTGCGACCGAAAAATATTTGCGCCTCGGCTGAGACGTACGAAATGCTTTATTATTAAATTTTTAAGTATAAGTATAATCCGCACTCTAATATAAAGCTTAATTAAAATTGTTTTGGGACATGAAACATGGACAAGGTGGAGAAAAAAATATCTATTAGTTGGTTATAGAGGTATCTATATTTTATAACCAAGTAAAAAATATTTTACAATTTATATGTTTGGTTTTAAATAAAGTTCGGATTTATTATTTATTTATTTCTCTTCTATTGTTTATTTCCTCTATTTTTATATATATTCCACAAAATCATCACTGCGGCACAGTCACGACTGTCTGCATGCCGAGCGCATGCCGAGATCGAGGCGCGTAGGTATAGCTCTCGCTTCGTCCGTTTGTATGAAGTTGGAATACTGTATAGATAAAATTACCGTGTATACGGTATATCTGACGAGATGTGCCGTAATTTTCCGAACGCTGACCAGCCGAACTGAATCCGTCAATTGACCTCTCGGTCGAAGCTGGACTTACCTAGTCGGACTATTTGTCCCAGTTAAACATACTTGTCAACAACTTCGAGTTTAGTGCTCCCAACAACTACCAGCGTAGGCGTGACATGGACGTTACACGTAATCTCAGTATTATCCATGTTCATCTTAAGACCTGTTCTTCGGGAGGCACTATTGAAGTAATTGAGCATAGTGCTTAGATCCCCCAACGATTCTGCCATAAGGACTATATCGTCGGCAAATCTAAGGTGAATGATGTACTCGCCATTGATGTTAATAGCGTATTCAGTAGCAAAGTAGCGGTGAAGTTTCGAAAATATAACGTCACCCTATCTTACACCTCTCTGCCGTTGGATAGGTTTCGTACTCTAGTTCTGTATTCGGACAGCCATCGTAGCCCTACTGTACAAACACTTCATTCAGCACATACGTAGACGCGGCTCAGAAGGGAAATCGGTCTGTAGTTCTTCAAAAGAGCGTTGTCATCTTTCTTGAAGAACAAGACCACCGCACTTTTGCTCCACGCATCTGGAGTGGTCCCACCATGGAGGACGGAATTATAGAGCTTCTGAAAGACTTCAGTCTTTCAGAAGTACTTGAAAGTACCGGTTTTCCTCCCATTTTCAGAAGCTCTGCTGCAATTCCATCCTCGCCTGGGGCCTTGCCGTTTTTAGGGTGCTGGAGAACTATTCTAATGTCGCTCAGACTGACGTCTGGGAATAGTGTCGGATAAGAAGGTCTTGTTATAAGTGATATTATATTGCGTAATTATTTATTCGTAAATGTTCATACGACAGGGAAACAAAGCAGGAGATGGGCAACAGCGTCTGTCTAAGACGTCTAAAAAAACAAGCGCTTGCTAACCTAACTGCCTAGCGTGGCAACAATGATAATCACTCATAAGAAGAAATCCATGGGAAGGCCTATGCTCATCAGTGGTTTCTTTTGATAGGCTGTAACGGTAGATTAAGGGCTCTCTTTCTAATATATATATTAAAAAGAGAGATTCAATCCTTACCGACATCAATGAATTTGTCAATTGTTAATTGTGCTGATTTACCAAGTGGTCGGCGGTGAAGAAAAAACCTCGTGAGGAAATCATCAAGTCTGAGAAATAAGAAAAAAAATTCGAAGACATGTGAAGTTCGCCAACACGCATTGGGACAGCGCGGCGGACACTTCCTTGCCCTAAAACCCTCTCAGAAACGAGGGGAGGCCTGTGCCCAGCAGTGGGACGTGTATAGACTAAACTTTACTTTTTTTACTTTTATATATGTCGATCGAACTCGATATTTCCATCGGCCCGTAACAATCTAGTATTTAGGCACGGACTTGTCGTATTGTTGGAACTAAATGCAGGAGTCGGCAGATCGGCTATCGCACTACTCGGTTCATTTTAGCACGAGACTTCATGTAAATAATCCATAAAATATCTTTTTATAGGTGCGATTATGTAAGGATTCGAATCAATTTGCAAAAATATATATTTAATTTAATGATGCGTAGAAGCGGAAATATTCCATTCCCGATACTTTTAGTGCAGCCTAGGTATTTATAAAAATAAAAAATATATAACTCATGCGAAACTATATATTATAGCACACTTAAAAAAGAGAAGGTTCTTAATTATTATAAACTGTATATTTTTGTATGTAGGTATGTTACGCGAAATCTTCGTCCCTTTGAGTCGTTTTAATGATTTTTTTTATTATTTAGACAATGCTTCCGGGGTGATCCAATACAAATTTGAGGAAAAAATTCCACCAGATTTTAATGTACGGACATTCTAGTTTGTTAGGTACCTTGAGATTATGATATGATAATGTGTATTATCCACTCAAAAGCATCAAAAACTAAACCTTTATTAAAAAGTAAATACGGGCTTCTAAGAAATCAAAAATACTAAACAATTAATTTTTTTTTAGCTAATGTTTTGATATTGCTGTTTTCAAATGTAACTATGTGAAGTTCTCCCACACACTGGGGCAGCGCGGCAGACAATTCCTTGCCCTAAAACCCTCTCAGAAATGAATCTGTGCCGTATGCCCGAGAGTGGGACGTATATAGGCCGTAAGTTTAACTTTAACTTTTGAGTTATTAACGAAAAACTGGATACTGATTTTTTTTTCATATTATTTTGTTAATAATAATTGCTATCTATGCTAATAATCCTTTGGAATACATTTTTCTAGAGGTCATTCCGAATCCAATGAGCTACTCTCTCTACTCATATTTTTAGAAGCTTTATGTCTATTTTTTACGTTTTTCAACTCGTGTACCAGACTAGAAATAATGTATACGGGACGGCAAATTCATGGCGATCGTTATAATATGAAGACACAATGTCGCTAGTGTATGTGTATTAAGTATCTTTTTTTTCTAGTCATCAAGTAGCCCACGAGCAAACAAAACAAGTTTTTGTGAGTATACAATGAATTTTAAAATGTCTATGAAAGTCAATATCAGGTAGCGTGTAGACGATTCTGCGAGTCAAATATCCCTGTGACGCAGGACAACCGCGGTTAATATTAATGGAGAATATAAAGCAGTTTAGTTTCCACTGAAAACGTTTTTAATTATAATAAATAAGTTTATTCTTTTCTCTCACAAATTTTAACAAACATACAACATAAAATTAATATGCTACAATCAATTTGTGAGAGACTGGTATCTATACCATGACTCCCTGTATGATAGACAAACACTCCTGCCTCCTGCCACTTGCCACTTCTAAATAAAATTTTAAATAAACAAACTTATCTAACCATAAACCAATAAGCTTACTACATCATTCCATTCAACAACTATTATTATATATAGACAAACACTTGTTCAGCAGATATATCGATTTCTTCTTGAAATAAATCGATAAAGCAATCGAAATACCCTTTTAGTAAGATGTTCTTCCATTAGATTCATCGATGCCTACATTTTGTATGCTCCTAAACCAAATTTATAGCTAGCAACTCAGTAATTATAGAAATTCATCGCGGCGGTGATCGCTTTACCATAATGTGATGCGAATCCAACGAAATCCTGTTCGTAAACCAAAAAAATCTTAGCTCTTCAGATGGTCCTAAGCAGAACAGCAGGGCAGAAGTACGATCAAAAGAGTGATCAACGAAGACCTAGGACTACGAGTTTATCGTAAGAAGACCGGACATTTTTTGAACGAGCGTTTAAAAAAAATTAAGTAGACTGGATAGATCCCGCACTTTGTTACGGCGGTACGCGGGAAAATTTACCGCGAAATTTTGTTTTCGGATGAAATTTTTTTTAACATCGAAGAAAGTTATAATAAACAAACTGATAAGGTGTATGCCAAAGCAGTGAAAAAGCCAACACGTGTATTCCGAGGGTTCAACGAGCACATTATCCTTCGTCAATCATGGTTTGGCTTGAAGTCTCATATTCAGACTTAACTGAGGTGTTTTTCTCTGAAAAAAGTGTAAAACCAGTGCCAAGGTATACTAAAATACCGCTCTAACAAACATAGTGGAATCTCTTCCACAAACAACGTTCAAAAATAGACATTGGATATTCCAACAGGACTCTGCACCAGCTCATAGGGCACGAAGAAGGAGCGGCAGAAATAGATAAGAGTATGGTGCGTGCTGCGATTGATGATTGGCCGCATCGATTAAGGGCATGTATTCAAAATAGGGGAGGGCGTTTTGAATAATGTAAATAAAATTGTATTCTAAATTAACTTACCTTTCATTTCATATATAATTTATATATAGGTAATCATCAAATAGTGTATCATTAATTTTATAAAAAGTTTTTGACAGAACTTATGACCTGACACGGAAACAATTATAAAATGGAATAATCTTAACACTTTTACATGAAATAATTTTGACCCTTTCTCATTTTGAAGTGCGGCGAGACTTGCTCACCATATATTTTACATTCTTTATACACAATTAAACAGATTAAAAATAACAGAGAGTTATTCTACTTTAGAACTCGTTCAGCCGCCGTTGCACGACAGACGATTTACGACGATGGCCCCGTCTCCCTCAGTCATTGCCGCTGCGTTTTTATTGCGTACGTGATAAGGCAAAGGCATTAAAGCTATCCAATCGTGTCCTGCGCAATCTCTACTACTTTTTGTTCAATATTATATATATATATATATATATATATTATATATATATATATATATAATTCAATATAAATAGCACTAAGTTGGCGGATTACTATTGAATCTGCAACAACTGTGTAAACGAACCGCCGCATAAGTAGAGGTGATTTAATAATAGAATGTGTAAACTATGTTTAGCAGTCGACTACTTAACATCGTCGTTACAATTCGTCACTGTAACGATAAATAAATGAAATCATTTAAGATAGAAAGTTTCAAGTGTCAAGAGAAACTTTCTTTAACTGTTTTCGTACTTTTGTCCTTCTTGGTTTCGTTAAATTTGGCACAGGTTAATGATTATAACCCATTACATTCTGCAGATGTTGCAACACGTTTTAAGCCTCATATCTGTCACGTATGTGAGACACAAACACTTGTTTTTATGCAACAATTAATTAGAACAATCGGGAGAAAAAAAGAGAGATTGCAATTTTTTTTAAGATACAAGTCAAAATATATTCTGGACCGTAATTAGATAAATGATCGATGAATAAGTCCTTCTTTTATACTTGAGAGTCATCAGGTGCATTGCGATACCATCCACAATCAATGAATTTGACTGTTTCATAATTGTCTCAATTAAATAGCGCCTCGATATACGCCAAACACGTAAGTTCCACTCACTGATCAAGTAATAATTATAAGACCTTATTAATTGTAGTTTTTGTAGAAAAAACTCTTTGATGTTAGAAAGGCATTGTATGCGAACTAATAATTATTTCCTGCCTTTTAACGAGATTAACAAATGAACTGTCAAAAGGAATAAATGATAAATAACACTTAGTTAAAAGTACTCGGCTAAATTTATTAATTATAAGTTAATTTAATATCATTTCCTTAGCACCAAGGACTTTATCCTGCAACGGGATTTTAATATATGTGTTAAAACATTATAACAACAAGAAAGAAACGATTTTTATAATTCTGTTGATAACACTTTCTTGTTTGCGTATATTAGTTGTAATGCTTAAAACCTTCTGTATTTTTTATAAATATAACGGTAACTAAAAATAAGGGTAAATAAGCTAAGGTAAAAACTAAACTAAATAACTGAATTAAATCGAGAACATAGTCCACCCGATGGTATTGAATGCTGTGACCTACAGACACATTCATCTATCCTCGATAAAGATCAAATGCAGATGCTTTGTCAAACCCTAAGACTAAGATTTAACGCCTCGTTTCTAGTGAAAAGGGTACCCTCTCGGGGGGTTCTCATCACTATCGGTATTCTGTGCTAGGGTGATCTTCCGCCAGTCGGCAGCCTTGACGTGCTTCAGTGTGGCTCTACCATTTGCCTCTTTGTAACCATATTTTGCTCGTTCCACGAACCAGGCATATAAATGTATGTCGCTTTATATATTTTTCATTATATTCATCATTTGAATACAATTTCCGTCAAATATAATATAATATAGAAACTAAAATACAGCCATGTAATTTATAAACTCAAACTGCCGACTTTACCCGTCCGAGAGCTGTGATTGAAATAGATTGACATTTTAAAATTGTAAATGACGAATTGATCGCACCGTCCTTTCGGTAAAAGCGTCTGTGTCTATTGATTTAATTGTTATGACAGTTTTTTCTTGTAACGATTAAATTGAAGAGAGGGTAATGATAAAGTTAATGGTAATAATTATACCTAACAAAGTTCTCGAACATATTTGGTGGTATCGCGAGACTTTTCATTGTTATTCGTTAAGAAATATTGTACGTTACAAACTCACAAATACTTATTATATTTGTTGAATGTTTCCATAAAGTTTTATTTATAAAAAAATCTTGAAATTGACAGTTGAGAAAGAACAAATAATTCTACCGAATTTTGAATAATAAAAAAAATTAAGCTCGAATTCAAAGAACTTAAAATAATTATCCATATAACAGCTTCTGAAGTCGAGGCTTCAAATTTAGTTATATAATTATTTTTAACCACTCTATCCTCTTAAGAGTCTCACTCCATACGAAACAGCACTATTAAGCCGTTATTTTACGCTGGTGTTATGTGACAGAGTGGTCATTACCTGGTTGAGGCATCCATCACACAACCGTCATATATACAATATGTAACAAAAACACTGTGGTTCCCGTTAAGTGTGTTATCAGAATGAGTATTCAAGCATATAGAAATAGTTTTATTTCAAAAAAACACATTTAAAAAAATTAATTTTGATGAAAAAAAAATTAATTTGCAAATTGTATGTGGTTTTATTTCCTCTAACTCACACGGGTATCGGTACTGCGGGGTCTTTGACAATCCTCTTACTCCTCAACCAATGCAGAGATAATAAAACCACATACAATTTGCAAATTATTTTTTTTCATTAAAATATTTTTTTTAAATGTGTTATTTTTTCGAAAAAAAATATTTCTATATGCTTGGATACTGATTCTGATAACACAGTTAACGGGAACCACAGTGTTTTTTGTTACATGTTGTATAGTTTGACTTTACCATGTATAAATATTAAATAATTTAGGTTACGTTCAATAATTTAGTTATTAAAATAATTAGGTGGCGTGCATTTATATATTATACGTAGACTTAGTATAGGCGGAACGTACATATTACTAACCCTGCCATGAGATTATTAATAATCTCAACCGGAGTTAGAAATGATAGAAAATATTTATTTTTTTCATATAGGAAAAGGGCGACAAGCGAGTACACAGTCCACCTGGTGGTAAGTGGTTGCTGTGGCCCATAGATATCTACATCTATCCTCGTTTGCGAATCAAAATGAAGATGCGTTGTCAGCCCTGAGGACTAAGATGGAATGCCTCTTTTCCAGTAAAAAGGGTCTCCGGTTCTCTAAACTCACCATACGAAACACAGCAGCATTAAGCTGCTATTTGACGCTGGTATTCTGTGAGAGCGTGGTCCTTCCCCGGTCAAGCCGACCCATTCGTACTACAACTATACAATTAATATAGCTGCAGCATGGCTCTACCACGTAAAGCATGGCTCTACCACGTAAATATATTGTTACCGTCCTAATATATTGTTTTAGATAGACATTGTAAAAATTTGGACCCATAAAAATATAAAAGTGCATGGACATCGGCCACATAGAACTTTTACTAAGTGGCACGTCACCTTCCTACAAAATGCGCACTAGCCCATGTTCGGCAACAGATTGTTAAGTGTCCATAAAGAAAATATTAGCCTACGGCCTTTTAATTACAGTGTTATCAATAACTATATTCCAAACTATAGTTATAAGTCAAATATAACAAAGCTAACTTTATTAATAACGAAATCTAAAATTACCTTTTTAGTTAACACGTATTTTCATTATTTGAAGTGATAAACAATGATAGGGTTAGACCATCTAATCGTCTCATTTTACCATGTCCGTTAATTACGTGACCAACATAACAATATAAATACTTTTTTTTACAAACGAGCACACAGTCCACTTTATGGTGAGTGAATGCTGTGGCCATTGACTTATATATCTACGAGTATCTTCAATCATGAATCAAAATGCAGACGCGTTGTCGCATTCATGTCGTTTTCAGTACAAAGGGGCTTCATTTCTCTACACTCACCATACGAAACACAGCAGCATTAACTACAACACCTATTTTACGCTGGTATTTTGTAAGATAGCAGTCCTACCACGGTAGAGCAAACCTATTCGTGCTAAAGCCATAATATAGCGCAGCGTCGCTCTACCACACATAAGCCTTATAATATTGATAGTACACTTCGTTACATTAGCCTCATTGCAAGCTGATGTTTTCTGTTGTTGATGCGGGATTTGAATAAATCACAGTTCGTAAACACATTCCATGAAATTAGCGTTTTTTATTAGTTTTTCAGTAAGCCATTTTAATTGCAAACTACTAATCAGGAGCTGCGATGATCCTAGCGATTAGACTAGGTCATAGTCCGTAGTAATCGGTTCTTAAGGGGAAATATAACCTCAAATGGCTTAGCAAGATCTTCTCTTCTCGTTCTTTACGCGCACCGTACGAAACACAGCAGCATAAAACTGCTATTTTACGCGGTTATCCGGGAGAGCGTGGTCTTTCTCCGGTTGAGGCGACCCATTCGAGCTACAACAAAAATATATCAGCAGCATGACTCTACCACGTAAAAACTATGAATATGAATGAACTAAGTCACGTGTCGTAATGTACAGGTCTGTCGTTCCTGTTCATTTTTAACCAACTTCAAACAAAGGAGGAGATACTCTATTCAGTCTATTCGACTCTCTTTTTGTGGCGTTACCTCGGAACTTTTTTTAGGTGAACCAATTTTGATAATTCTTTTTTTATTTGAAAGTTAATGCTTACCAGATCAGACCAGTAGTTTTTAAGTTATCCTTAATCATGCGTTTTTAATTTGAATTGACTACATTGATGATGTTCGCTTTTTATTTATATTGAAGTCGGTTGTACAAAATAACAGAT